GGATTCCTCTTGACCAGCTGTCGATTGGCCTTACTGGAAGATTCATGCTGACACTGTTTCCGAGGCAATCGCCTTCGATTCCGGTGACAAGGTGCTAAGCTTTCGTTCGTCATATGATGAGCATCATCAGAGCAAAGTATCATCGTCACAGCAAAATTCAAGCCAGCGAGATGTGCCGGTGAGTTTTCTTGACTCACGAAAGCTTAGCACCTTTCACCGGAATGAGGAGATTGCCTCGGAAACAGCGTCAGCATGAATGTTCCAGTAAAGCCAATCGACAGCTGGTCAAGAGGACTCGAGATTGCCTCAACAGCGTCAGCATGAATCTTCCAGTAAAGCCAATCGACAGCTGGTCAAGAGGAATCCGCCGTCGTCTTCTCGAAATGAAAGTTAGCTCAACAATTATGAAACAAGAGATTCCTTAAAACCCAACTTTTCTTCGCATTTAGAAAATGTAACTTGTTCTATTTCTTCAGAAATATTCACGAAATACACCTAAAAACAGTCTAAATCGGATGCGCAAATGATTGTCTTGACTTTACGTCTGCGGTAGAGACGTAGACTCTGAAAAATTTCGAGCGAAAAATCCCGCGAGGTTTTGCCCCAACTGCCTTAAGCACTTGTTGCGAATACGATTGTTCCAAATGCGCGGCCATACTAGCAATTCAGACCCGGGTGCCGTAGTAACGGCATCCAAGGGCCAATGCGAGAATACGTGTTCCGAGGATTCCCATGTGTTGGCCGGCATGACTCTTCGTGGGGTAATTGAGAACGAGAGGCCTGGGCAGAGGCCGAGGCCGCGGTGGAAGATCCCAGTCTGGACCGCTTTCGGGAATTGGGCTTTATTGTGTAAAAAGCGACCATAACGAATGCCAGGAGTGGCAAGGAGCTGAGTATTTGCCATCACGCTGAGCCAACAGCCTTCGGATCGGCCTCTCTGGGAAGCCTGATGATCATACAATGCCATCCCCGAAGACAATGTTGCGGCAACAGAAAGCTTGATCATCAGCCTGAGCATCTTTGTATTTGCTTGACTGCTGTGTTGCCAGGTCTATATTAGGAGCTAGATGAAGGTTTTTTCATTATTTTTCAGCAGTATATATAGAGCCGGTTAGTCTTCTTCACCATGACGTTAGCTTGACGTTTTTGTACGAATGAGATCGATCTCTGACGATGTCTGCCAGGCAGCATGGCAGACGAGAGCTGGTCTCGTTTTGTTTGCAAGTGAGGCGGGATATCTCGTGGACTGCGTCAACTAGAACGTCATAGCAAGGTTTGGCGAAAATTGTACTAAAGATGGCTTAGTTAAATTGGAGCGGTTCGCACTAGTATCTTAGTTTAAGAGGCATGTGACGAAAATCGGGCATTTCTTTCTCTGCTTTGTCACAAATGCTAAACTCAGTTTGCACATCAGTGCCTGCTTGCACATGAATCCGGAGACTCAGCAAACAGGTGCCGAATTCATGCTTTTATCCTGAAACGTTTAAAATTAAGGTCGCCAGGGTGAAATGAGGTCAGGGCAAAAACTACCAAAAAGGTAGGGTTGATTTTTCGCCATATCTTTCGAGGATTAATATTTTGCCTCATTTGTTGAATAAAAATGTGAATAAGTATAGTAGCCGCTGATCGCTTTATCTAAAAGTAATAATTCAATAGCAACTTTCCTTACCTAAAAAGTAATTGTAACATTCTGTTCATAGTTAATATATGCAGTTATTTTCATAAGTATGGCAATAAAGTTATCCATTATTATCGGCCCAGAGACACTCACTCTTATCAAGTGTACTGTCTATGAACTCCGTATGGATATTCCAGTCCAACCATTCAATTTCCGAATTGTATAACAACCGACAATACTAATGATCAAGTTCAAGCTTTTTCTCTGAAGGGTAGCTACCATAAGTAGACTAATATGCAGTCAGTTGTCAGGACAACACTTACTTCAAACATACTTAGCAAGGCCGCAATCAAAAGTGAAGAAGATTAGGAGAGGAAAAATGATCCAAGCTATTTGATGTCGAAATTGTGGGCAAAGTTGGCTTACTTTGGGTAAGCAAGTCCTGGGTCCTAGTTCAAATGAGATGGGATCAACGCCAGAGGCTAAAATCGGACGAATAAATAACGTTTTGGGGAAAGCAAGTTAAACATGTCGGACCCGGCAACAAAGCCTTGCAGTTTTGCGTAGACGAAAAAACTTCCGCATAACTAAGAGTGCAACTGGCCGTCCTAGAACCCACAACACTGAAAGGGGCCTGTATTGGCAAGCAAACCGAGTCCGAATCCTTCCCTAGGCGCGGATAGGGCGACTATGAAACATAACACTGGCGTACTTTCACTTCGTACTTATCACACTTTGAGACTGAGGAGGTTTATGTTGGCCGGAGGCGAAAGCCTTTTGTTGGAAGCATCTTCATCTTGCGTATAAGTGTAGAATGATCCACAGAGCAATCAAGACCAAATCACATCTGTGGTGGGTTTAGCGAGTAGGCAAGCATATATTAATGCGAATAGAAGTTGGTTTTCGGGAAATCTTCTGTTGCATAATTGACGAGCTCACTTCCATTTCGAGTGAAAGTCTTTGGTGAAGAGATTAGAAGGTAAATCCCACCAAAAGACGACGTCGGATTGTCCTCTTGAAGTAGGCTCAACAAACAGATATTTGTAAGTACTTATAGTCTATATGAAGATGTGACCATGTGCAGAAATTCGAAATACTGCATCATTATGAAGTGGTATGTAATTGCCTTATGGATAAACGGAAGTCCATGTTAGGCAAAAAAGTCTTCGACTTATGTCTAACCAGAGAAATGCTATGAATCCCGTCAGAGAGATAGCGACCAAGTGGCTATGATCGTGTAGCAACTGGCAAATTTGTGCACTCGTCCGACAATCTAATTGCCTGTAGAAAGAGGGTAGTATTGACGGATACTGAAGAGAAATCGCCTTTGCTTTGAACGACGGCTTTAGAAGAATTTTTATCCGCAAAGAAACAAACCAGAATCAACTCCGATCCTCCTTTCTGGACATCGGTTTCCAAGCCGACTGAGGAAGTACTTACTGGAATTTCGGTTACTTTGACGAGTAACCTATCGCCTTTCAAACCAGAGTCAAAGGCTAAACGGTGACTTGGGAAAAGGGGAGGTTCTGAGTCCGTCCAAGGCAACAGATAAACTGCTCATGCAGACAGTGGGAGCCAAAATTCCACACGCCATAGCGAAATCTGCTTCAGATTCAATAGCTGATTAGCCCCAGTCTCAAAGAAGCAGCCCGGCATATATGCAGACGCCTTCACGACAACATCCAAGAG